TTCCATAGAAGGATATCTATACAACAATAACAAAAAGCCTTATCTTACTAGAAGGGGTTGGCTACATTTATCGCACAACGCTAATATGCTCTATCAACAATCAAGTTGTGGCATTATTTTATTCGTGACTGATTTGAAAATTTGTATTGCCTTTTTCGTCAGACTAAACATTTGTATTACGTACTTCTTTTTTTCGATAAGGAAAAGTGCAGAAAAAGCAACAACAAAACAAAAGTAAACTATCCTATGCCCGTGAGGGTCACATCATCCTTTAGAATAGAAGAAATAAAATAAGGGGGGTTACAGAATGTAGTCAGTCCATCCGTAATACTCAGAGCCTCCTTCGCGAGCCTATCCGCCACACGGTTAGCCTCTCGTCTACCCCAGATGACCGTCGCGTCCCAGTCCATTTCCAGCCACCTGCGAACTTCCGTGAAGAGTCCTGCTTCTGGGTGGTCATCGGTCCATCCCGTCTCCAGAGTTGCCACCACCTCCAAGCAATCTGTTTCAACCTCAACCTTCTTCCACTGTGAGTCCCAAGCTCTCTTGAGACCCCACACCACCGCCCATAGTTCCGCTTGCAAGCTGCTGCCTCGGCCGATACGAAACATAAAACCATTCAAGACCCCCCCGTCATGGTTACGTGCTATTCCGCCACATGCCGTCAGTTCTCCATCTCCCATGCAGGCTCCATCAACATTAACCTTGGTGTTTCCCACGTAAGGCGCTTTCCAACGATACCCATCCATGCCCTCCACCGTCGTTCGGCTCAGGGAGATGTTCGCCCAATTCACTATCCCATGTGCCTGTGCCAATATTGACCGAAACCCTCGCGCTTTGCCTTCAAACACTCCCGCGTTCCTATTCAACCACAGCTATCGACATAGTACTGCAAACCAGATGCCCCAACGAGTACCTCCAACTAGGCTTATCTGACTAATGTTCCATTCAATCTAGTGATAACCACTTTCCATCTGAAAAAACTGTCTACGCATCCGGATGGGAGTGAGTTCCTGCCAACACTTCGATGCGACTTCACAATCATGTAGTGCATGCAATAAACCTTCTCTCCCTTCCCCGCACAGGGTACACCCCTCACTCGTTCGGAGCCCTCTCGCTGCTATAGCACAATTAGTGAGTAATCGCCCGTGTCCACACAACCATAAGAATGTTTTGTAACGTTCCGGGACATGCAGTTTCCATAACTTCCTCCAAAAGCTGCATCATCCGGCCGCAACCGGAGAATCCAGCCCACGATACGCTGACTTGACTGAGAACTCACCATTCGAGGACCCTCTCCACACAACATTATCTTCCATATGTCCATGGGTTTTCACACTAGCGATTGCATTCAAAACTGAACCAGGTAGCAATTCCGCAAACTTATGCCAGTCCCAACCACCAGAGGGGGAGATATACTCAAAGACCGTAGCTTGCCTTCTGTTCGTACCAATTTCTCGAATTGCGTATGTGCTAAGTTTCTCATGGTGGGGGACCCATGCGTCCTCCCAGAACCGAACTCTTCTTCCATCACCTACTCTCCAACCAAGTCCTGCCGAGATATTACCCCAGACCTGTTTAATACCTTTCCATGCTTGAGAGCTGCTGCGTTTCGCATCCAACTTGGGCAAAATATCATCGCCACATTTGTATTTCTCCCTTATGAATCTCACCCACAAAGTGTCTCTATGTTTCATCAGCCCCCAGCCTAACTTCATCATAAACGCTATATTTTGTCTTCGAGCATTACGTAACCCAAGTCCCCCTTCGCCCTTCCGCTGACACACTATGCCCCATGCAACTGCATGCATCTTCGAGGTTATGCTAGTACTACCCCACAGGAAAGCACGGCACTTTTTATCGATTTCATGGCACACCTGGGCTGGTAGCAAGGTCGATTGCATAGTGTACGTTGGAATAGCCACCGCAACAGAAGATACCAACGTACGTCTCGCTGCTAGGGAGAGAGTGTTCACTTTCCAATTAGTAAGCCTCCTGTCTATCTTGTCCAAGACGTATTGGTACGTTCGCTTGGATACTCTTTTATGATGCACTGGCACCCCTAAGTACTTCCCAAGTCCGTAGTCATAGTAAAACCTAAAAAAGCACTGATCTCCTTTCTTCTCGCGAGGTGCACATTATTTGAGAAAAATATTCTTGACTTGGTCTCATTAACTTTCTCCCCAAAGGCGGCACAGAAGTCATCAAGACAAGCTTTGATGAGACCCTCCTGTTCTAGTGTGGCTTCTGAGAAGAGAATTAAGTCGTCTGCAATGAAGACATGTGACACCGCTGTCCCACTCTTGGTTAAGCGGAACGGATGCCAGTGATCTAGCTGCACCTCATTTTGAATAAGATGGGCTAGCTTATCCATAACTAAAACAAAAAGGTATGGCGAGAGTGGATCCCCTTGGCGTATACCTCTGTTTGGCGTAAACACCGACCCCTTATCTCCGTTCCACATAACTTGCATTTCAACCGAAGACAAACAGTGCTGCACTACGTCAATAAAATTGGTCGGAATCTCCAGTTCCTTCAAGCATTTAATCACAAAGTCCCATCTAACTCGATTATATGCCTTTTCCAAATCAATTTTGAGGGCCATAAAACCCTTCTTTTGCTTCATATGCCTCATGGAGTGGACAATCTCTTGGATAAGAATAACATTGTCCGTGCTCTGTCTGCCTGGTACGAAGCTACACTGGTTTGGTGCAACTATTAGCGACATCACTTTCTTCAATCTATTGGCAAGAATTTTAGTTACCACCTTGTAAATCACATTGCACAAACTTATGGGTCGAAAGTCACAAAATGTTTATGGTGCATCCACTTTTGGGATTAATGCAATATTTGTTCCGTTAATGCGTCTCACTTGAGCCGGCTCCCTGAGAATACTTCTAACCATACTGACTACAGAGTTTCCCACCACCTCCCATTGGCTCTAGTAGAAAAGAGGATTCAGTCCGTCGGGTCCTGGTGCCTTAAGTGCTCCCATACTGAACACCGCCTGCTTCACCTCTTGCTGTGTAACTTCAGCTGCCAATGATTCCAATGAATGGGGCGATATCGCCGGGTATGTACTCCCAAATTGTACCTCCTGCCCTGTCTTAACCTCGGCCCTGTACAGATTTTCAAAAAAGGAAGTACCTACTTTTTTAAGCTCCTCCTGGTCGTAACACCATTTCCCATCCTCTGTCTTCAAAGCCTCAATATTCTTCTTCCTTTGTCGACAGTTTGTAACTGTATGGAAGTACCTTGTGTTTTTATCACCTTGGTTATACCAATTACACCTAGATCTCTGTAGCCACATAATCTCTTCTTGCACCAGACACTGTTCTAGTTCTCCCCAAGTCTCCTGACGTTGACGTTCCCAGTATTGATTCTGACACTCATCTTTATTCAGAGTCTCTAGTCTAGCTAGTAGCGACGCCTTGTGTTTACTGATGTTCCCAAAAACTCTTCTATTCCACTCTGTCACGTCCTCCTTAAAACAACCCACTTTCTCTTCCCAGCTTTTAGATTCCCTCCATGAATTACGTACTACCTCTGTAAAACCATTGTGAGTTACCCACGGAGCAAAAAAGCGAAACTGCTGCCTTCGTTTCCCTTGACCTTCACCCCCTTTCAGTTTGAGTAGTAATGGGCAGTGGTCTGACTTGAGCTTCGGGAGATGAACAACCGAGGCCGTTGAGAAATATTCGACCCAAGATGAGTTTGCGACAATTCTATCAAGCCTACTATATGAGCCCCCTCTACTCCAAGTGAACTCTGGCCCTTGATAAGCCACTTCACTCATTTCGCTAAGGTGAAACCAGGCACTAAAGTCACGATCTGGTCCCTTATGTTTTTTTGCTATTGAGATTCTTTCACTGTCTCTAAGTATCGTGTTAAAGTCTCCTCCCACGCACTAGCGTCCCTCAGCTTCCACCGTAAGACGTCGGAGTTCCTGCCATAAGACGTGATGTTGGGCTATATTCGGATGCCCATAAACTACTGTCATGTCCCACGCTTGAGGCTTGCCTTTGTTAAAAGTCCTATGCAATGCTTGAGATAACTTGTGTAATACTGTGAAATCAATTCCCGCCTCCCAAAAGCACCATATCCCTCCACTATATCCCGTGGCGTCAATTACCTCTACACTCTTGAAACCCAGTCTTTTCGCTAGAGCTAGAGCCCGTCTTCGGTTTTGCCTGGGTTCTAATAGGGCTAAGAAACCAATTCAGTACCTTCTACGCATTTCCACTAATAGGCTCGAGAAAGCTCGACCCCCTACTCCCCTGGAGTTCCATATACATATACTTGTATCCATATATAAATGATAAAAGGAGTTAACCAACGCCCCTTTAGTGCACAGGCCCCAAAGCGGGGGTTTCCGCGACCATACTACACTCCACAGTATCAGCTGAGAGAGGGTTTGTGTGCACCCAGACCCCGTTCTCATATTCTTCTCCTGGATCAATGGGGTCATCATCCTCCATCATTTCCTCTTTTCCGTTCTCGCAATCCTTATCTGCTTCCCCTTCGTTCTGCTCTCTATCCTGTATATGATTGATCTAGGACATACTGGCAGTGTCTCTCGTACCACCCCTTTCATGCATCTGTGATTTTATTTGTTTAAGGTGCTCCATACCATCATGACTGGGCTGCGGGCCCGTCCCACCCTTTAGAGTTGAGCTTCCGGCTAAAGCCTCTGGCAACGTAGTGGGTGAACCTAGCAGTTTGATTGGCCCATTCTTACATCCTAAAGCTAGTGGTTGGCCCACTTTTGGTATCCGTACATGGGTTCTATTGCCCATCTCCCTATCCGTAATCTCTTCTAACAGTATACATGCCCCTGATCGTCGCCCCGTATCTTCCCCATTCCCTCTATCATTTGTATTCAGCGCCGTGAATCTCGACCCTCTTCTTCCCGAATCCAACCGAGATCCCCGCCGTTGTTTAGGTCCCTTCCTGATAGGATTACCCGTCCATCGGCGCCACCGTGCCCTCTAAACCGCAATCTAGTCATCATACAGCGCCCTGGTCTCGACCTCTGACGCGGCTTCCTCACGGTGGCATCGTGCACCCCGTTCACTTGTATCCTTGCCCATTCCCGTCTCCGCTTCCAACCCATTCTTCGAGCGTCCTTGTAAGCCGTCCTTCCCCCCTGTACCAGATTTCCTTTCAACCGTATGTGTGCAGTGGTCAACATCATGACCATACCGTCCGCATTCCAGGCAAACTAAATGGATGCTCTCATATTGAATCCTTCTTTCCTTCCCATTTATCAGAATCAACGGCCGCAGTGGTTCATTCAAATCCAACTCCACACATAAACGAGCAAAGTGACCCTTTGTCCGACGCAACGTGTTCATATTCACCTTCAGAACTCTTCCCACCTGAGATCCCAGTACGTATAATATGCCTTTATCATAATAATCAAGAGGTAATTTGGATATACGAATCCAGGCTGCAATCTTGGTTATTTTCTCCTCATCCGGGTCAAAATCTTGGTTCCAAGGTTGTACAGATAAATAATGATCATATATGAGCCATGGGCCTCCTGTCAACGCCATATCTTGATCAGACGCACTGGAGAATTGTACTGCAAAAAACCCCGACCCTACGTCTATCGCCTCTACCTCTCCTTGTCAGGCCCATAGTTGTTGTAACTTTGTCGCCATGTACTCCGGGTTCACCATGCGCCCCAACAACTTAACTATCAGCGTGTTCCTCCATCGCTTAGCCAGTCTTTCCTTCTCCTGCTAAGAGATTAAGACATTCGGTCCCTTTTCCGTCATGATCACCGTTATCCTCTCCTTCCACCGATCCCCACTTCACCAGTCCTCCTCCTCCTCTGTCGATTCGCACTCTTTGGTAACGGCATGTTTAAATGATTTCCATCTCCTACCTATCCCTTCCCCGCTCCCTTTTTCTTCCTCTTCCCCACGTGGAGTTTCATCGTGCATCCATTCCTCATCCCGCGGTACACGTGACTGGTCATTGATGAATTGACCCTCCCCAGCACGCACCTTTGTGTGACTCCGGACCAGTGCATCCCTTTCCTCCGTCGTCGGCAGAGGATATTCTCTCTCTCACACGCTCATCTCTCTAAAGTTCACTTAAAATACTAGTCGCTTTGTATTACGTACTTCTAAGGAGAATGATTGTATAAGCAGATATAACTTGAAATTAGGTTGCATCATAATTTTATATTAGATTTTTAGTAGCAAGGAATTGACAAGTAAAAATGCTTATTTGACAAGTTAAGATGTCAGTATTAACCAATGAGGGTGCCAGAAATAATTACTCACTTTATACCAAATGAAAATTCATGTTAATTTAAAATGATTACCTTGTTCGAAATAAAACCATTTTAAATTATCATATATAACTTTAAAAGGAGAATACATTACATTCATTGCGTGAAATTAAATTTTCAAATCAAACTTTGTAAATCAAATTAATATAATTAAATTCCTAAAACCAACTCCAATGCTTATAATGACAAGTGAATGTATCAACACTAACTAGTCAACCATCAGACTTTTAACATAACCAAAATGACAAGTTAAGGTGAAAGTATATATTAATTTTATTTACAGAGTTTCATCTGAAAATTTAATTTTAGGCAATGAATGCAACGTATATCCTTTAAGTTATATATGATATTTTAAAATGGTTATATTTTAAATAAGTATATTTTAAAATAATATGAATTGACATTTTGGTATAAAATTGGTGGTTATTTGTGGCACTTTCACTTGTTACTATATACTGGCATTTCAACTTATCAATACAGGTGCTTTCACATGTCAATATCTTGCTGTTAAATATCTGATATAAAATTATGATGAGATTAATGACATTTTGTAGCTTCTCATTTAACAGTCCAAGTTGAGATTAATGACATTTTCTAGCGTTTCATTCAACAGTCCCAAGTCGAGATTAGTGACAGTTTGTAGCTTCTCTAACTTCATGAGCCAAGCTTCAACTCTGCACACTGACAATGGGAACATGACTAGAGCACAATTGCACCGTGTTGCTGATCCATTTAGGTTATTGAGTTAATCAAACCGCAAATTTTGCTCTGGACATGACTAAAAGCACATTACTAAGTAAATAAATCGACAAGGGTTTATCGAAGAAACTAAAAAAATTACGTCAATGCGATCGTCACACTAAAAATTCATCAGTGACAAGAATGCTTGATCTGCTGTGCTCTACTTACCTGCAAATGAATTTGCAATCATATTAATCAATTTCAAGGGAAATCTAAATCTTTAACACAAGGCAAATGTGGAAGTACAGAGAGAGAACAGCAGTAAGAGGTTCAAAATCATCAAAATTTGTGAATTCGGAAACCAAGTTGAAAAAGAAGATTACTACAGACAGGGTTTTGGGAGTTGGGAGTCTAATAAGTCAACACAAACATTCCTCTCAGCAGTGATCGGTGCTTTGTCGGCCATCATTGCCGAGCGTTCGCTGGAAGAAGGGAAACAGGAAGATGACGGAGAAAGATTTGCAGCAGGTGCAATGGAGCCTTTTCACATTTTCACTTAACTGCAATCTCTTACACTCGGGTCCCTTTGGGACTTCTGATTAATTTTCAATTCTGATGGGATTTTTTTTGCTGGATTTTTTGTTCCTTGGGACGTCAATGCCATTTTTCCTAGAATGAACAACTTTGATAATAAACAATTAATCAACTGATGGGTTGGAACTTGGAAAGATTGGACGCTTCTGAAGAGACTTGGACATCTTTCTTGGCCGAGACACCACGACCAGTACAGGTTTTTCGCTTTTGGGTTCCACGTGCTAGCATTGTCAAGACTCAAGAGAAACAAGCATTGTTGTATATGCCTCAGGAAATAGTACTTGCATATTCGTTGGGAACACGGACACTTCAAACACAGCACATAATAGAAAAACCCTACAGTGATTGTTGGTTGAAGATTTGGCATGGCCACGTACCATTTATTTACTAAAAGGAGGAAATACTCACAGATACATGGCACAAATGTAAAGTATGTCTATAGGTGTCACGCTCGAATTGTGGTCATCCCGTAAAAGAAAAAGAAAGAAGGTCACCACTAAAATTTTAAAGGGTTAATTTTGAAAACCGAAAAATGTGATATATGAAAATTAGATAGAGTTGGGGAGTCGATTGTGTATAGGGAAGGTGTTAAACATCTCACAGCACCCGTTCAAAAGAACGGTTATCTTAAGTCAACTACTCAAAATTACTAACCTTTTTATTTATATTTTAATTACCCTAAAAAAGATAGAAACAAAGAAAAATTTTTATTTACAACAATTAAAAAAATAAATTGTTTATAAAGCTATACTTGATCTAAGATAAAAACCTAGGGCCTACATTCCCTTTAGAGGGATCAAAGCCTACGTAGTTCGGGATAGAAATGCATGTCATTTGATTGATATCTTTTGGAAAAACATTTATTTGATTTATTTAAAAGAATTTTTTTGTGGGTTGTCATTTTTTAATTCATGAAAACAATTTTTGCATTTTTATTTGAAAACATTTATTTTTTGAAAGAAATTTTGGATTACATTTCGTACAGAGATTCCCGTAATCTCACACGTAAGAATAATTATTCAAGCCTATGGAGATCCCGAAAACTTCACATGGCTCTAGCAAACATTTTAGTTTAAAATATTTCAATTTTGAGAAAAAAACTTAGGGTAGCACTTTTTGCGGAGACTCCCATAATCTCACACAAAAAAAGCAATCATTCAAGCCTGTGGAGGTTCTAAAAACTTCACACAGCTCTAGAAAATATTTTTATTTATTAATTTTGATGAACTTTTTTTTAGTTCAATTGGTAAAACAATTTTTACGTCAAAGTTTAAGAAAAATAGGTGAAAGCAAGAAATGATCAACACACATTGCTCATAAACTAAGAGCTTCTATATTCACAATAAAACAAAAAAGAGATGGCAAGAACCATATGTGGGTGGAAATAATATGCATAGTGAGGCAGTAGGTACATTTAAAACTTAAAAGGGAAATCAAACAATTAAAACAAGATAAATGGTGTGTCATTAAAAGAAAATGAGAATAGGTGAAAGCATGTACCATTAAGGCTTGTCGCACGAAAAGAATAAAGAACAAAACTTTTTCTCTTGCCTCTTTTTTGCTACAAAATTCTTCTCTATCCCTTCTTCTAATCCTTACTCTCCTATTTATAGGTTTCACCTAGGGTTTTCTAATTTTTTTTTCTAATTTTCGTTTTTTAATTTGCCTCAATTATGTCTTATAAAGTAACTTCCTATTTAAACATCAAATCATTATCCAATTGTGATTTTTTATTTTAATTTTTGTTTTTTTATTTTTCTACTATTATGACTCCAAAATATGTTTCTAAATTGAGGAGCCAACCAACCTAAGTGAGGGATTTTTATTTTTGTTTTCTGATTTTTCTGATTTTTCTCTTTAATGTGTTCGCCTCATATTTCCTAAATTAGAGACCAATCAGCATTTAATTTCAATCTTTTTCTTTATTACCATTTATTATGAGAAAGATGTTGTTGTTTGATTTTTTTTTTGGGTAGATTTTCAAACTTGGTCTTCAAAAAAGAATCAAGAAGGATATTTCTTTTATTATTATTTTTATTATTTTCTATTGATTTCTTATTTATTGGATTAATTAATATTTTTGTGGGCCTGGACAAAATAGGGTGTTTACAGGTGCAATGTGAAGTGCCATCTAGCACGAGCGTCAAACATGGACACAAACTCCATAAATGAATCATTTCTTCTACGTATGTCTCTTTAAGTTTTTTCAAAACCCAATATCTCAGATGCTAGCATATGCGCAAAATCTCAAAGGGAGGATCTAGACAGCCTTTGACTAACTGTTATCTCACGAGCTCAAAAGTCACCACTCTTCTTATTACAACCAAAATCAGCTCAAGTAAATTCAAACTTGCAGTTGCGTTTAGAAAGCCCAACGTTATTCTCAGAAACAGAGAAATGTTCAAATCCAAAACACACCTGAGCAGAGCAAAAAATGAAGATTAAGACCACAAAATCAACAAACATGTCTATTTTGCAATTACAATATCAACTAAAGGAAGCAAATGCAACATGGATTGGTAATCCCTCCTGACTAATCTGCCATTTCTTGCTTGCTTCACGGTCGCCTCCTTGTCATAAAAAGCATTGGGTGGATCAGGGAGAGGACTGATTGTTGGCCTCCTGCTTGGAATTGGAATAGTGTATAACTGCAACGCGAATGGCCCTTTGCCACAATGGTGCTTTGCTGTGCCACCAAACATGAACCTTGCACTTGAAGTCAGCCCAATATGAATATTATAACTTGATTGACTTGTGAAATGCTCCGCAGCTTCTGCTAGAAGAACCATGGTCCTCAATTCTAGACTTCAAATAATAGAAATTTCCTATTATGAACACAAATCTGAAAAGTTTTGCCTGCCATGTGTATATTTAATCCTAAGAAATATTCAAACTGTTGCAAAAACTTAAACCGCCAAGGTTTAGATAGTCTTTTAAGGTATAAGATATAACTTATTCAATAACATTGTAATGAAAACA